CTACTTAGGAGGACTGGCAAATACCACCTGGGTTTAATTACCAAGTCACTGATCCGCTAAGTGTTTTCAAGGAACACTTTTGTTAACTAATTTAGAAGCATAAGCGTATGAAACAAACAGACAGTAATCCTTTTTAATAAAAACCATAACATCTATAATACTTAAGCATCTGTTCTGAGTGATTCACTATATTTCTTTGTGATGATGGTAAGGTATTCGGTGTCAAAGTCCCATAATTCTCTTCGGAGAAATTTTACAGGTTAGTTGTAAACTAATATTTTAATTATTTCATGCACGCAATACAGTGTTACGCAAAACATATTAAACTATGCATTTTGTAAACTTTTGTGTGACCCGGCTGTGAACCACGCTTCTCAATACGAAGGGTTATGACACGATCTACCTGTTCAAACTGAAACGAAGGTAAGGTATCAAACCTGCAAGCTAATTAGTAAACGATAACTGATTTAAGCGGTCTCCATTTTTAAATGGGTGTCATCAGTCATTTTCTATGTAATTTATCTACCACTAAGATTAATGATATTGGTTCGATATTTTCAATATCTACTTGTTTCATTTTCATATTTACACTTCGTTTGTTATTAGTTGCGTGTTATGCAACACCAACTAGTGCTCTTACAGAATGCAACATCAGCATTCTTCTCTGGAAATAATCAACAACTGGATCAAATTTTAAACCAGTATAAAATCAAATTGTCAAATACACAAAATGGGATTAGCCATTAATTAGTTTTCTTTTTCTATTTGTTACTGTTTCACTTGCATTTCCTTTATATAACATGAAATAAATACATATGACTAAGTTTTGCCTTGTGTGTGCTGTGCGCCCATTAAGTGACATACGTTCATACAAATGAACTGGTAATGTTTCTTTTGACAGATCATTTTCAACCCACATATGTATTTACACACAAATGCAAAATTTGTGACTTAGGTGCTACTAATTATGGACATTTACAGTGTTTTGAATTTCGAACTTATTAATTATTCTTACTGATTTTTAATTTGGTAATGTGTTATTCCGTTTGTATTTATTGTTTATGAAGTTGTTGCATATCTTCAAAAACCTATATTTACATTTAAGTAGTAAATGTTTGTGATTTTGTACAACTGCTAACTGGAAATGGCAGTCAGTAATTCTTATTTTCATGGCAGAGAATTTGAACCACATTTCCCAAGGGTTAATGTAGTTACACAGGTGGTACTGAGCTCGAATCTTAGTTACCGTAACCGCTAAGTTATCTATTCGACTTATCCAGCAAACACAAATTTTAAGCATAAGAAGAGACATCGTCTAACATGGCGACCCCCTACACCAAACCAACTATGGACTCAAATAGACTATATTGCCATCAGTCATCGTTGGAGAAGGTCGGTAGAAGATTGTCGCTCATTCTGGAGTACCTGCTTGGACTCCGACCACGCCCTAATACGGGCACGCATCTGCTTGCGCCTCACTGGACGCAAAAAAGCCACAGTACAAAGACCCATTAGAACCGGACTGAGTGGCGAGGAAACCAAAAGTAGGTTCCAGGAACAACTGAGGTCACGATTAGGTAGTTCTGAAGACGAGGCTGAATGAAAGACAGGTAGCTGTGGAAACAGCAGTGACATCTATTAGCGACTTAAACCACAGAGTTGCAGAGAACCAGTGGATCTCTTCAAAGTCTATCACACTGATGGATTCTCGCAAACTCGTCCCATCAGGTTCCGAACATGATAAAGAGCGACAACAAATCAGATCTAGGTTAAGAAAAAGTCTAAGAAACGACCGTGAGCAGTGGTTAGCAATGAAAGCAAAAGAGATGGAAAAGGCGGCGACTATAGGGAACACAAGACAGCTCTACAGACTAATAAAAGAAACTGGAATTAATAAGTCAAGTGTAAGTGAGATTATATCGGAAAAAGACGATACTCTCATCTGCTCCCAGTCCAGGCGTTTAGAACGATGGGCGGAACATTTCAGAGAATAGTTCAGCTGGCCTTCAGCTACTCTACAACTACCCTCCATTCCCAGACAGCGTGAATGGAACATTGAAGTAGGTCCCCCAACTCTTGCTGAAGTTCAAAAGGCTATAGTTAATCTGAAACGAGGAAGGGCAGCTGGTCCTGATGGATTGGCTCCAGAAGTCTTCAAGGATGGTGGTCCAATTTTAGCGGTTAGGTTGACTAATATTTTAGCCAAGATCTGGGAGTTAGACGTTATTCCATCTAACTGGTCACAACCACTTATCGTCCCAATATATAAGAAAGGGTCAAAATCATCCTGTGACAACCACAGAGAGATTAGTTTAACTAATATAGTATATAAAATACTAGCCTCGATAATTATCAGACGCCTAACTAAGACTCGTGAACTGCAAACACGAGAGAACCAAGCTGGCTTCAGACCTGGTCGTGGCTGCATCGACCACATATTCACCATTCGTCAGGTTCTAGAACACAGGCATACTTATCGGCGTCCGACATTGGTGGTCTTTCTCGACTTAAAAGCAGCATTTGACTCGGTAGAGCGCGAGATTCTGTGGCAGTGTCTGTCATTGAAAGGCGTACCACAGAAGTACATAAACCTTGTAAAGGCTCTTTACTCGAACACTACTAGTCGAGTCAGAGCTTATGGCGAACTGTCATCTACATTTGCAACCTCAAGTGGTGTCCGTCAAGGCTGTCCACTTTCCCCATTTTTGTTTAATTTCATCATAGACCTACTGATGGAAATAACATTCTCGTCCATTGAATTCTCGGGTATTGATCTCCTTACAGGAGATCCACTTATCGACTTAGAATACGCAGATGACATAGTCCTGTTTGGTGAAGAATCTGATAAAATGCAGTCTTCTGGTAGCACTAAGCAGAAAATGCCAGGATGTTTGGAATGCGATTCTCTCCCTCGAAATGCAAGTTGTTGCTTCAGGACTGGTCTGCGTCAACACCTGAACTAAGGATAGGGAGTGAAGTAGTCGGACGCGTTGAAAACTTCACTTATGTTGGAAGTCTGATCAGCCCTAATGGGTTGGTGTCTGACGAAATTTCAGCACGGATTCGAAAAGCCCGTTTGGCTTTTGCCAACTTATGTCACCTGTGGCGAAGGCGAGATATCCGTCTATCAATAAAAGGACGAGTATACTGCGCGGCAGTCCGTTCTGTTCTACTTTACGGCAGCGAAACATGGCCATTAAGAGTAGAAGGCACTCGTAAGCTATTAGTATTTGACCACAGCTGCCTTAGAAATATTGCTGGGATCACCGGGTAAGTGATAGTGAGGTTAGACGCAAGGTATTAGGAAATGATGGTAAATCAGTTGATGAGGTTATGAATCTTCATCGACTGAGATGGTTGGGCCACGTGTTACGTATGCCTGAACACTGATTACCACGACGTGCAATGCTATCCGGTATTGGAGATGGTTGGAAGAGTGTTAGGGGCGACCAAACCAAAACGTGGCATCAGTGCTTGAAGTCATTAACTTGTGGTCTGTGCCATGTTGGTAGATGCAGACTACTTGGTTGGGTCCGCGTGACTATCGTAACCAATGGTTGGAGACTTGGTGACATGGCTCAGAATCGATCACAATGGCGTCGGTGTATACACTCACTGTCTTCCCTTAAACTAAGAGATTAAAATCGCTTCATATCTTTCTTTCTACGAACAAATTCTTTCTTCTTGTACTATATCTCTATATGCAATCTTTCTCTTACATATTACTACCTTTGACCTAACCACTGCTATGAATCCGGTGTTCATCTTGTTGTGCTGATGCGGTATGGCAACCTGGACCGATGCATATATGTGCCTAGTCCTACGTTGTAGCTGACTGACTGACGACTTATCCAGCCACAATCAGATTGAAAAGAATGTGATAGCTGTGGATCCATACCAAACGCATTGAAAACGATGAATTTAATCGTATCCGTGGTCTGTACAGTATAGTGTGCTTTTGAATATCTGTGTATACTCTTAGTCATGGGATATGTTCAAGATCCACTAAGGATCAAAGTGCACTAGACGGTCGTTCTGTCCTGCACGTAGTCGAACTAAAGACATTGAGCAATATACTTCTGGGTCATCCGGGTCACTATTTCCAGTTTCAGTCGAGTTTTTATATTTGACGTAGATCTTCAAAACGGCAAATCACCAACTAAACAATCGTACGATCAGCAAAGACTGACTACAGAATGTATTTTAGTAAACTTTAATGTTACGTAACCGGTGAAATGTAACCATTTTAGTGGTGAGACATTGTGCACGGATGAGAGTGAACAACGAGCATAGTATACCTATTTGGATTCTAACTGTTTGCATACTTCTAATTGATCATGCACAAATTGGTTCATAGTGACTCGGCTACCATATTTCCAAATGCACCACATAAAACCACTAATATGGTGTATATAAGGATAAGACAACTTGATGATTTATCGGGACCAGTTTCACAGTACTAGTTTATTTAATATCATTCTCACAAATCAGCGCAACTAAATATGACCACCTAAAGACCAGAGCAATAAATGCACCACTAAATAAAATCCAGGTGCCTTAATACTGCCGAATATTGCGGTTTAATAGCTAAGAAAAAGTTCTAATGTTAAGTCAACATAGACGGGTGGTTTCCAGATGGGTCGGTTTAGTCATACTCTTAATGCAACTAGATAGATCAAAATGAATATGAAATGCATATGTCCTTAAATCGAACCGACTTCAAGGTTAGTTTCTTTCTCAGTACCATAGAACGGCTGCTGGGTATCTTAGATCGAACTAAATTATCCAAGACGAAAAATCCTGATTCCCTGTTTTACCAATCACAATCTGAGTTATAGACTAAACTTAAAACATAAGATGCATTTAGGATCCAAGATGCTTCTGAAAGAGTATATTGAATGGTAAAATACGTTTAGATGGGTGGTACTGAACGTGTTTCTTTTTGTTGAGATAATATCGATTGCATTTGGCTCAAATGTAAGAATGTGACGATGATGAACCGCTTGTCTAGTGTGATATATGTACAAGTAAATTGAGATCTTCAGTCTGTTTCCATGAGAAGAGCTATTAGTATCCTGATTCTTGTACAAAATTGCCATGTGCAGTAGCAGGTCATAAGTTGAGTACATTTTCAGACTTAAATTACAACGACGAAGTAATTCACCATCAGATAAACATTTAAACAGTATTGGAAAGCTTGGCAAGGCTTATATGGAAACGGGTGTATAACTGACTATAACTAATTGAACTTAAAATTCATTGCCTACTGTGTTCCTTCATTTGCACAAAAAAGACACTTAACAAGCATGGAGGGACAAGTAACCTAGATATTTGACACACTACTGATTTGGAAAAAAGATACATTCTTATTTGCTAAAATAGTGTTTTATGGTAAGGTAGAAAGGTGCTAATTAATTAAAAAACTTGGAGTGATATGTTAAGACTTGGAAATCAGATATCGAAGAGAGGTTGTAACAATCGGCTAGTGAAAAAGTGAAATGATTGCCCAACTGATAGTTATTAAGAACAGAATAATTAAAAGGTTGTAGTAGTTACTAATTAGTTCTGAAAATAATTGGAAAGGAGTAGGAACAATGAAATAAAGAGAAAAACAGATCATAGAAGATAGATAGGGAGGTTAAAGGTGAGGGACTGAACATATTGTTTTTGTAGGAAAAGGTTAGGCTTAAATTGGTGAATAACAATAGAATCTGCCGTACACAAGTTGTCTATCTGCATTTTTATCGAGCCAACTTTTCCATGTATAATTCTCGAGAAGCGGAGCGACCGGGATAGACTAGATGCTCCAAGATCGAGCTTTTGACTGACTTCTGTAATCCTTTGCAAAGCCAGGTAGAGTGATGATGTTCGGAGATGCGTTTCGAAAGGGCTCGCTTTGTGCGACCAATATAGCCTACTCCACAAGAACAAGTAAATTGATAAATGCACATTAATTTGGATCAAAGTGGGAGCTTGTCCTTCACATAACATCGGACCATAGACCGACTAGGAAAGATAATGCAGAGTTCAGTCGAATAGAATGTTTTCCTCAGAGATCTTGCAAGCTTGTTTCTCAGAATTTCTGCCACAGTATCTATTTCAAACTGAATGTTAACGAGATCTCCTTTGATGCTGTGGACACCACGCTGTTTTGGCTTAAGATTTTTCCCAATGAATTTAGATGTATATCTGTTGCTAGTTAGTGCCTATCGTAGTCAAGTTCGGCATCGATTATATTTTCTGTTCAGATGCGTCTAGCCCTCGAACTGAGAGAATGGATCAGGTTTCTCTTTTGCTTCAGTGGGACCCAACTTTGATAATTCGTGTGCTGACTACTTGATGTTAGCTTTCTATGTATTGATCTCTGTAGAAGACCGCCAGGTCTCCTTTTTACCGAAGCATCTAAGAGGTGGGAATATGAATATGGCACTCATTCTACCGTGAACTTAGTTGATCGATAACAGTTATTGAACGAGTCCGGGATGTCATTGACATTGATGTTTATGTCACAAGTAATGAAAATGTCGTCTTTTATAGAACGAAGCTATTAACTACCGGTCTAAGTATAATGTTTTTGAGATTAGCAATGAAACAGTCAACTAGAAAAGGGCCGAGTGGTGACCCCTTTGCAAAGCCATCAGTTTGTGTATAGAACTGATTTTTAAAATTTAAATTATACGTCGGGAGTGCATCGAAGAAGTAGTCCCTTCGAATATTGTATTGGAACACCGATACATTTGTTCAGCTTCTCAAAATATTCTATCTTAGTGTATTAACTGTTTGATAATTTTCTATACCGTTATTTCGAATCCCATAAATCGATTAAGTATATAGTCACACGAATCTATTGTGAAGCTAATTTTTTGCTTAGAGCACTAACAAACAACGATAGCTTGACTAAAAAATCTAGCTGAAGTTTACATTATACAATCCTTTATTTGTTGACTATACTGTAGTTATGCGTAGGCTTTCTTATTCTTCAACTGTTCGTGCTAATATGACAATGCAATTCATTTCGAAATCATCCAAATGTTTAAATTTCTTTTGAAAATGTTTCCAGTACCTCCAACTAATTAGAAGGGAGTGCTTAAATGTTTTGGGAATCTGCTGAATAGACAAAATTAACAACGAACACTCTAAAAGGTAACGGACGCTAGACGTTAGGGAGACAAACATAAACCACTTGAGCACATAAATCAATTCCGAATTCGAATTCAGATGATACGCTCACTGTTCCCATAGTTTATTCTTTTTTTCTGAGTAATAACCTGGTTCAATAAAAGGAATAGTAATCCAATTCTTTAGTATCCAACAGTTTATATGAATCTCAAAACGCTTCATGCTGTGAACTTATTACTGAATTTTTTCTCAAGTCGGTTATTGATGATATTATTTACTCAGCATTTGTTCATTTTTACTGTAAGCGATACATTGTATCTTTGTGTTAGGATAGTCGGAAAAATATACCAATAATTATCGTGTTAAGTCTATGGTGGCCTTGGATCTTAAATGTACATTTCTTATTGGTCGATGTTTATTTCACTTGTTAAATATTTTGTAAATGTTGTTTCCTATTTTATGGTACGATGTGGTTTGTTTGTTTGTTTGGTATATAAATAGAGTATGTCTGAAATACAATGATTCATAACTCAGAGGCTGTGACTTGTGTTCTTGACTCAACTGGCTAGGACAGACAGCGAAGCAGGGCCAATCAGGGCACTAGGACGTCCTTACGTGTTTACGTGTCACTGTCACAGAAGCGATCGATAAATACGCTGCTTATCATAACCTGCAGTCTCACCCGTTACAGCACTTTGCAAACAGTTGACCATTATTTATGACACAAACTGTGCACCCACATTACTCTTAGAATATTCCCTGTGGGACTTATCTGCTGATGCATAGCTAAAACGAATAAGGTGAAAGTGAACCCTAGTGTTGTTTTTGCTCAATTACCAAGTCTGTATCTATTTCAGCACAAAACTAACACGACTGTGATTCTTACTTTCAGCTTTTAACATTAGCTGTGATAGGACTAAATATGGACATGAGCAGAGATAACTGTTTTTGGAATAATTATAACTTATAAATTTAATCTTGACTGGAAGATTAGATTTTTTTCAACTTGTATAATATCAAGCAAAGAGTAATAAAGAGGGGATAATGGAAGAACTTACAAATTGAATACTACCATTTGAATGATCATTCTGAAACTGTACTGAATAATCAATGTTTATAGTTGGCCTTTATATTTCTACCATAGTTCCAGATGTCTGCTAAAATAAATACATTTATGTACGCTTTAAAACAGAATGATACACTTTGAAACTGAGCAAAGTCTGGAATGAAACTGAAAAAAAGTCTCAATTGAGTTCGCGCTTAAGCTGTATAGATTATCAAGTTTCCTGATACTTTTCCATTTATTTTATTCCATACGTTGGATCTCTTTAAAACCTACTGACGGAAAATTAGCTCACAATTGAAAACACTGTCGAATATATTCAGATTATAAAGAACGTTAGAATTCGATGTTTTTTACAGAGGAGTGTCTACAAGGCGTTCGCAGATAAGGTTTAATATTTCACTTAGTGATAAGAAAGGATGATTGCTATCAACGAAGGTTGTTACACAGGTTTAACGTTAAACAACTGAAATTCATCGTCGTAAGTGTTAATTAGAATTTAATGGGGTATAGAAAAATAAAAGAGTAGAAACAGCAACTGGAGTACTGAGCATTTACAAAGCCAAAATGAAATACACTAAAGATATCAGACATTACTTGCATTCCAAATAGTCTTTTTTCACTCTATCAAGTTTCTCTTTAGTTTCTGCGTCAATATTTATTTCTCTAAGACTGGATTTTGCACAGCGCTCATCACGTTCACTTTCCTCACAAATGAGTTGATCTACTACTTGTTCGATGCAAAATAATAATTCCTTGTTTGTAACTGCTTCATCAGTTTTAGGACATTGTGTTTGTTCTTCGGCTTTTGCTATATAATTGTGTAACTCACGCAAAATAAAATAAACTCCATTGGACCGAAGAAATGTTCGTCCGTGACTGGTGGAGCAGAACTAAAGTGACACTTAAAGAGTAAGTAAAAAAGATTACTTGCAAAAATGTTTGGCAAATAGTAAGATACAACTCAGTGGAAAACAAACGAGAAAATTGGGAGCTCCCAGTTGTAGTCTGAACAGATTTAGGCAATATAGCACGGTCTTCTTTGTCAATACAATCTTCTGGACCACAAAGTGGAACTAAAAGTGCATCGAGCAAACCAACGCCCCTGTTGAAAAGTTCACTATGAAGCTCTGGAAAGCCATATTTGAAAATAAGTTAAAATATTACGGATTACCATCTTCAAATGAGCAGTTTTTTATTATGCCAGCTATTAGAATTTTGATAGGGACGGAACACATATTTGAAAATAAACCGATCAGCTTTCGTAATAGTTCTGATGAGCATATGGAGTGGCGTACTGATGTTAACCTACTTAGGTTAAGTACTATCTTCAATAACCAAACCCAATTAGTAAAATTAACTTACTGGGAGAAACTTCTGGATAGAAGAACCTGAGCTGAGGATCGATCTAATATGTTTGTTATCAAAATGTTCACCGAAATGACCCAACCAAACAGGATCTCTAGTCAAATTTGAAATCAAGTCAATAATTAGAGACGCTAAATCAGCATGACTTCTAGAATTATCCAAAGAGAGGGTAGTAAGGATCCGAGTGAACTCTTCACGCTTTTCTTGAGTTGACAGCACAGTCAATAAAAGACGTGTTCCTTGAACAGCTGAACAAATGTTAATTAAGCATTTGACAGATAATATGAATTCTTCTGTGAGTGCTAAAGGAGAGAAATTATAATGATGAACTGGAGAATACACATTACAAGACAGAAAACACTCGACATACGAAATGATAGGAAATTATAGGAAAATGGAAATTGAGATGTGGTATATATACATCAACATATGAAAAGTGCAGTACGAAAATTTCGGACTAAATTGGATAGAAGATGTAGTGAGCTTACATAGACTAGAGAAAAGTCGGTTAATATTAAGATGTCTAAGCAACCTTAGTTATCATCGATATCTTTATATTCCGATGATACCAAGAAATAAAGTGGTACAAAAAGTAGAGGGTAGCGAGGAGGTTCACGAAAGTTCTAGTAAACTAGTTAAGCAGTAGGCAACCATTAGACAATGTGCCCCCGAATGCCCTGATACGGCCGAGAGTGGCCACGCGTTTACAGCCTCTGTCACGGAAGTCCTACTCATTGCCTTCTCGTGGCGGGGTGTTGTTTACGAAAATGAGAGGACGAAAAGCGAATGTCCGGCGCTTTAACCGGATCCCAAACCAATGGTGCACATGGGCTCCAGTATCCTGCGAGAACAAATGGCGTATGAACCAATCGTTGGTCACCGGCTACCATGGGACTGCATCTCCTTACGATGCTCCACTGCCTCGTGGGTCAGACCTTTAGGTCAAAGGCTCGGGGTGTGGCCCCCTAAGATAACCACCTGATTCGGTTTGGGCACCCGGGCAGTATCACAGCCCACACGCAACTGATGAACTCTCTATTCCTATGGAAACTACTTTTATCTCTTCGAAAAACAATCAAATGATTTAAATTATTATCATTACTATAATTGTCATTATTAATACTATTATTATTATTTTCCACATTATTCACCCTCTTTTATACTTATACAGCGGCTCGTCTTTGGTGAAAATTCGACTGTATCTAAACGTTCTCGAGTCACTGTCCGGTTGAAAATTGTATGTTACCAGTCAGCCAGCCAGTCAGTCAGTAACAACGTAGAACTTTGTAACTACGTACATCGGTCCGAGTTGCCACACCACATTAGCACAGAGATGTAGTGGTCGATTCAAATCCCGTAGTGCTAGATGTAGTAAAATTAAAAGCTGTAATCGGAAAAATTAGGGTTTAAAGATGTTATTCAAGGAGTATAATCCAGTGAAATAAATTTGGAAAGAGAAAAAAGAAAGGGACATGAAGAATTCAGAAGATTAGAATTAGAGAGAACACAAAGAGTGGATGCACCTGCACTCACCACTGCAAACGATTTTGAGCCATGTCATTCAGGGTCTCTAACCATCGGTTGCTATCATCTTGCAGTCCCCAACAAGGTAGTCTCCACCTACCAACATGGCTCAGTCCACCTATCAGTGACTTCATGGACTTGTGCCATGTTTTGGTCTGGCCGCCACTAGCTTTCTTCCAACCTACTCCTATACCACTGAACATCGCATGTCGAGGCAGTCGGTCGTTGGGCATACGTAACACGTGTCCCAGCTATCTCAATTAATGAAGTTTCACTACGTCATCAATTGATTTGCCATCCTTACCTAGTACCCGTTTCCTAACAACTGCATTACTTACTCGATGGTCCCAGGATATACGAGCAATATTTCGAAGACACCTATGATCAAATACTAGTAACCTAAGGATATCCTCTACTCTTACCACCGACTATGAGTACTGAAGCCGTTTTTCTGAAATCACGTGCACCATTCAAACTGGTTGCCTTCAAGGTTCACACACTTACGCAGGTCGGACAACAGATAGGGCTGGCTATGTCTTTGGAAAGTCTTCATATCGATGTCTGCTGTCTATCCGAGACCCGTATTTAAGACTCTGGTGAAGTACTACAAATTCGCTCTCCATCTGTCACTTCAAAAAGCTTGTTTTACATGCATTTATCCGGGGACCCTGTGGCATCTTCGTCTGGTCTTGCTGGCGTTGGTGTCGCACTAAGCGCTAGAGCTGAGGCAGCACTAATCGATTGGATCCCTATTAACAGTCGGTTATGTGCTGTTAGATTAGAAAGTTCCATCAAAGTGAGAAGAAATCGGCGTGAGAAACGATGTCTTTTCGTCATCTCCGCCTATGCCCCGACAGATTGCAGCCCGGATGCAATCAAGGATGAGTTTTACCACCAGTTATCTGTTCTTCTCCAGAAAGTGCGTTCGACAGATATTGCAGTACTAGCTGGAGACTTGAATGCTCAGGTCGGGCGTCTAGGCGCAGGAGAGAGTCGTTTAGATGGCTGATGGGGACTTGTTGGTCGCAGGTCAGATAACGGGGACCGTCTACTGCAACTTTGCACAGACCACAACCTGTTTCTGGATAGCACTAACTTCCGGTACAGTCATCGCCAATGTGCCACCTGGCGTCCTCCCTCTGCATCCCAAGCCTGGACTCAGATTGATCACATCGCGATCAGCTACCGCTGGCGTGGTTGTGTACAAGACTGCCGCTCCTTTTGGAGCACCTATCTGGACTCTGACCATGCCTTGGTCTGCCCCAATCTTGCCTTACTTTTCAGTGGACAACGAAGTGACCGCCACCAACGGATTGATGTTAGCAAGCTGGTTGCAACTTCTGTTGCAAGTAAGTATCGAACCGAGCTAGTTTCTAGGCTAGCTATCATTCCACCGGAAAGTATAGATGAGCATTAGTTGCAATTGCATGTTGCCATGAAAACCGCGGGTACAGTCAGTTGTGGGTTCGCGAAACGTCCCGCTTATAAGCACTGGGTTTCTTCAGGTTCCTTACAACTCATTGAAGCCCATCGGTCTATTCCGGGTGACCGTGAGTTTGATGTGTTACGTAAGGAAATTGGGCAAAGCTTGCGTAAGGACCGAGAAGCCTGGTGGTCGATGCGTGCTAATGAGCTGGAAGCAGCAGCTGCATCTGGTAACTACCGGAAGCTCTTCCAGCTCATCCGAGTCACTGGCAGCAAAAAGTCTGGTGTGAACGAAACAATCTGCGAGGATGATGGGATACCAATCACTAACATCCATCGACGTCTTGGACGATGGGCAGAATTTTTCGAAGGGCAGTTCAACTGGCCTGCTTCTCCGGCAACATCGGTCAGATTGTCCTGCCCTCCATGGCCGGTGACGACTGATCCACCAAATGAGGCGGAAGTCCGCAAGGAACTCCAACTCTTGGAGCGTTACAAATCACGTGACCCAGATGACTTACCTCCGGCTCTTTTTAAAGATGGTGGTGACTTTTTGACTAAGGAATCGACGACTTTGTTTACAAAGGTTTGGGAACTAGAGAGTGTACCAACGTCATGGAATCAGTCGATAGTTGTCCCTATCTTTAAAAAAGGTTCACGTCGTTCCTGTAACAACTATCGAGGGATAAGCCTACTTCCGATTGCGTCCAAGCTATTGGCTTCTGTCATACTTCGTAGGTTGTTCAAAACTCGAGAAAGATTGACTCGCGAGGAGCAGGCTGGGTTTCGTTCTGGTCGAGGATGTATTGATCATATCTTCAACCTTCGCCAAATGCTAGAACACCGCCATACTTATCAAAGGCCAACAATCGTAGTGTTTCTTGACATCAGGGCTGCCTTCGATTCGTTGGACAGGATTGTTCTCTGGGATTGTCTATTGAAGATGGGTGTGCCTGAGAAGTTTATTAACATCCTAAAAGCCCTATACACAAACACCTCAGGCAGAGTGAGGGCATACAACCACCTCTTTCCATTGTTCCATTCGAGCTGTGGGGTTAGACAGGGTAGCCCAATCTCACCATTCCTCTTCAACTTTGCCATCGATGACATTCTGGAAACAGCTCTGATGAATGTAAGTAATGGTGGTGTGGATCTGTTGCCCGGAGAAAGACTTCTCGACCTTGAGTATGCGGACGATATTGTCTTACTGTGCGATAATGCCCAAGCCATGCAATCCGCACTTAATCAGTTGGCAATCAGTGTCCGTAGGTACGGTATGTGCTTTGCGCCTTCGAAATGCAAAGTACTTCTACAAGACTGGCAGGATTCCAATCCTGTACTCACCCTGGATGGTGAGCAGATAGAAATGGTCGAGAAGTTCGTGTATCTGGGTAGCTGCATAAGTGCTGGTGGGGGTGTGAATGATGAGATCAATGCACGAATAGTGAAAGCCAGAGCGGCTTATGCCAATCTGGGCCACCTTTGGTGCCTTCGTGATGTTAGTCTGGCTGCAAAAGGTCGGATCTACAATGCGTCGATGAGAGCAGTTTTGGTCTAGGCTTGTGAAACCTGGCCTCTTCGAGTTGAGGACGTTAGACAACTCTCTGTGTTCGATCATCGCTGTCTCCGAAGGATTGCTGACATCCAATGGCAACATCATGTCAGTAATGCAGAGGTTCGGCATCGTGTGTTTGGTCACAGAGACGATAATCCAATTGGTGTCACCATCTTGAAACATCGACTTCGGTGGCTTGGAAATGTTCTACGAATGTCATCCCACAGAATTCCACGTCGTGCATTGTTTGCCATCGCTGGGACTGGTTGGATAAAGCGGAGTGGTGGTCAGTGCATGACATGGTGTCGTGGTATGAAGGAAAGCTGCAAAGGGTTGGCTTCTGTTGGTCCTTCACGACTTCCTGGTTGGGGTCCGAGAGATGGTGCAACACAGTGGCTAGAGACGTTATCAGATATGGCTCAGAATAGAAGCCAGTGGCGATCCTGCCGTAACCTTTTAATTTCTTCATAAAAAGTGGTTGTATCTTCCTAACTGAAAGATTTCTTCTGATTATACCTTTCCGTTTCCCTCATTATTATTATTATTATTACACTACCTTACACTAACCTGGTCGTTATTGTTCTTTTTTCTTCCCCCTTCCCATTCTCATTGTTTTGTGTGGCGCATATATATTTGGTGCCCTCTTGTACCAATATTTATGTGTTCAAATAAGTAAATAAGGCACAAATCCACACCCAATGATGATACTGAGTTCTTATTGATCTAGACACACACTGACTTTACAGGCAGAAGCTAGTCAACATTTGAAAGGACTGAATACTGCAGTGCGATAGCCGCTGAAAGCTCAAGCGGTGTATCAAGTGTCGTCTAGATACTAAGCCATTCGAACTATTTACCGCTTATTTGTCTGTTTAAAACTACATTATTGCATAGTATCAGTCTCTACAGAAGATAGTGGTCAGCTGGAGGCATTCTACTGAACCCTAAGGCTAAAATATGTAGGGACTACAGTTGCACTAAACCTGCTACCTTCATAAAAACGGACTAGAAGTGATTGAGTCACAACTGGATTATGGATATTTTGTACTTAATGCGAACTTAGTATTAGTTTAACAGAACAGGATTTACAGACACTTCAGAAATATCAAAAACACGGTACTAGTCGTCCGTCGAGTGACTACTCGCAATCTCTCTATTTCGGGGAAAAGGCACAAAAACCCCAAAATTTTCCCCAGATCAGGGAAAATCCCCGAAATGTTTAGGAAAACTTTGAGTTTCCCTCAATATTTCCACAGAATTTTATAATACTTTGAGGTTTTTCGCCGAAATTTGGGGAAAACCCTAAAATTTCTCCAAGATAGTGAGATTGGGTCACGTCATATTACTAGTGATTATAACTCGTTAACGTCAACCACTCCAGATTATGTCGTAGTCACATTAAAGATCAAATGAAACCGTTTAACACAAAGTTTATATTCTTTTGTCTTTTATGCATTTGATCTCATAAATAACTGCATGAAATATGGCAACACCAGACATAGGACAGAAATGTGCTGACAAGTTTTTGGGGTTCAGGAATTGGACAGACTGACATATTCTACTGAAGAGATACTAAAATCGATCGAAATCACACACAACAGGATAATTTGGTGTACATTAGTAGAACATAACATGTAATGTAGCAAAAATTAGCCTGAAAATCAGCTATTTATCGTCAAGGTCAATGCCTGTATGTTAACATATCACAAGTCTTGGAAAGAAGGTATATTGATGCGACCTTTTAATAAACTGTCTGAAGGTTTAGAGCCAAGTAAGCGACTAGGATCAAGCAAGACATTCTGAAAGAGACTATGTGACTAATACTATACACACAAAAAAGGAAACATAAATACTGTAGGTTTAAAAATTACGTGCTTAAACGACTAATAAAATAAGGGCGATGATGAAAATCCGAGACTTAATTCTATTAGTAATCTACCATAAGCGGTACGTGCATACATTTTAAAGTCATATATATATATATACTCAAACTTGGAAAAGCCATCTACAAACCTTTTGACAAGTCAGACGAACATACTACTTTCACAACCCGATTCAGATAGTGCTCAAGAAGTTCATCTTCAATATCCATCTTAGCCGCAGTAACCTGAAGCAAGGCTTTTAGCTGACATGTTTGGGCCATCGCAGCGTACAAATTATTTTTGCCACTTGCAGGATTATATGTCCAATAAAGAATGTGCTTTTATTAAGCTGAATAAAGTTAAGCAGTTTCTTAGTAATTAGGTCCTGAAGTCCGAACATAGTTTTGTCAATGTGTGTTTCCTTCAAGGCAATTGATTTAGTGGGGCTAATAGCTGCCATTATAAATATTGTCTAATTGATCATTGTGACGAATCAAAAAACTTCAGGAGGTAAGAATGAGGTGACCACAAACAATAGCAGCGATTTAATTGTGCTGACAATTGATGCGTAGTAAAAATCGGCTAAACTAGTTGGGTTGGAGAGATTGCATTCGCGAACAATCGAGTAAATCAGAGGTACATAATAGTGGCACATGTGAGGTAGCTAGTTGTACAATCCAATTTTGACACTGTAGCGGTAAATAAATCCTTAAAATAAATAGCTCTGTAAATATTCGACATTGGATGCTGACCATATGTTTTAGTGGACTCATATAGCTGAAGGCGCTCGGTCATTCATCCGCACCAGATCACGTGTGGTAACGCTGTGCTCAACATCTAACGCAATCGCTAGCCAGATTAGATCAGAGAATTCCGATATACTGGTAATCGCCAAATACACTCTTCCGATCTCCGCGACTCTGTCTTTTGATTTCTCTCGGTGGGTACAAATTATATTAGGTGTTACTGGTAAAAGCGTTGTCAAACAGTGAATACCAGTGCCATCTTCAACACGAGTAATTGACTATGGAGAAAATACACCACAGCCCACATTGGATCTCATTGGATCGTGCACCACTGAAGCAGCAGCATTGGGACCAGTGATTGTGACTGAGCTCCTCATCAACAATAAACTTGGCAAGTCACCGGGTTACATTTACGATTGTTGTCAACCCGAGGGGACACTTTCCGAGCCACGCACGGTGAGTTTCACCGTGTCACTTTCCAACACTCAACTCCTGAGTCATTTTAGGAATGCTGTAGTTAGCCCTGCGTTAAGGTACTGAAAGAGACAGATCATGTCCGGTTATCAATCCACCAGTCTAACTAGCATATTAGCCACGTTACTTCAAAAAATGATTCAGGCTTGGTCATGCAATCTAGAAACTCCCAAGCAACACGGGTCTCAGAATTAGCATTAATGCTTAACCAGCCTGCTAATTGCGGGGTAGGATTTGGCAACAGTCTAAGATGTCGGTTTGTTTGTCCATAAGAAATTCCTGGATTTTAGCATTGTACTTTCATAGGAGCTCTCAAAATTCGGAATATCAGGTACCATACGGAAGTGTGTAAGAAGAAGAGTCATTAGTTGCCGGAGGTGCAGGGTGAGGGTTAACGGTATGCCATTTGAACTGTAAAGGGGTTAAGAGTGGTTTGACTAAGGGAAGCAGTTGGAAATATAAAAGATAAGAATTTATTTCCCCTCATATGGTAATTAGTCGGGGGCATGTGCCGATTGCAGGATGTGCACTATTTCTTCAGGTACCTTCTTCGCTGTCAATATCTCCATAAATTGCTACTCACCTTGGAAGAAAAAATACGTTTGTGTTAGCTATGTGAACTGTGTTAATGGACCACAAATAGGATTTTGTACTGTATTTATTACAGGTATGTTAGGTGGACATGGCTGTAAATTTACTTTGGAATATATCATCTAACTAACCATGTATCTGTCAAATACATTGTCTCGGTTCTGTAGGTTAGCTTGTGTTCAGTTGTGTGAATTGACGGATGCCGTACGTGTAAATCCCTCTATTATTCCTTTGGCTTGTTGTCCGTCTATCTATATGCATATCCGTATTTCAAATTCTCTTATCATACTGACCTATAAATACTTGAAACATGCTGACTAATTGAAAGTCTGAAAGGTTTGTATTCATTCCAATTTACTGCATATTAGACCAGTCCAATGCAGTTTCTCGTTTATTCACATTTTTATGTTTGTCCGGTATTTGTGTAGGTGACTAACAGCATTGTTGTTATGCTATTCAAACGATGGTTTCAATGCTGATTATTGAATCACCTCTTGTACTGTACCTCATATTGAAAAGAAAATTGGCGTTCACTTACAGCTCAGTGATAAATGAAATTCAAAATAAAAACAAGTTGATAAACGCAATACAAGTAACCCTTGTCTGTAGACAGTCCATAAATGTAAAGTCTATCCATACTTTACATCATATTCACGAACGACCCCAATCAGAATACAAGGGTGGTATCAATTCCATTGCTCATATCCAAAAATTACAGTATTTTTAACCTTCTAGATCTTTCTAAGCTATTTTTTGATGGGCACTCAAAGCGCTTAAATATTTTCCTTACATCTTATCGTGGGACGCGAGGTGACTACGCACTGGCATTCCTTGTCTTATAAAATAATCCAACTGTTAACATGTTTCATCTTTCTGTTGCCAACAGAGATGCATATCTTCAAGTATATAGCAATAATATTTGAAATCCGCGACCAACTAAACTTGAAGTGAGATTCCGTTTTTCTCATACGGTGGTCAGTGATTGAAACGCCATTACATTATTTGAAAGTAATAGAACTACCGTATGAACTAGGAATCCCAGAGTTAACGCAGTCGAATCAAGAAGTACTAGACAAGCACGAACGAATGTATTGCATTTACAATTCAGAATCAAGCATTCAACAAGTACCGAGGGATTGTTACTTCATTCAAACATCACATCCGCCACAGCTTAAATAGAAGTATAAGTGTCTGTAATCAATTGTACGTCTTCTTCTTAAGTTCATCTTGTGTCTGTCCTACATTGTATTGGATAAAATCTCTGTAGTATCTAGAATGTGCTCATTAGTATTGGAATGAACAACCAAAATGGGAACAGACTCACCTGGAATTGTATTAAATCAGCATGTCGGTTTTGTACTGAAATCATTAATATCCAGAATTCGACCATAGATTTTTCAACACTATCCTCCCCCACAAAATAATGTTGAATCTTTATATCCTCAATTTATGAGTGATGTGGCTTCATTTAAAACATATTTCTCACATTGGTTAGAGTGAACTTCGTGACTTCGTGATAAGGATAAAGGGCAGTTGATATGAAATCATCTGAATTGTAATAAGGATCGAGCTCATTTAATACTCGTGGTTCGCATTGAACAAGTTTCCCACAAGAAACAAATGCATTATGAGGACAAATAATATTTGATATGACATCAAGATTTGATTCTTCTGAAATAGCTTCCTCAAATTTATTAAGAATGTCATTGCAGATGAAAGGATCATCAGAAAAATTAGCATCTATCAAAACTACATCAGGTTTCCGATCATGATTAGGTTCATTCAAAATATTTTCCCCAGATTTGCAAGGGATTTCGTCAGAAATATGTGAGTCATTAGGAAAAACCATATTTGGTACAATAACATGAGAAGTCTGACAAATTGACTGATTAGAAACTGTCGTCTCGCAAGAATTCGGCACGGACTGGCGGGTAAGCCACGGGTTTTCGCACACGTTACATATTGTCGTGGATTTTTTGTGTCGTTATTTATCAGCTATTAACAGGCTTTTTTCCATCACACATCAATTTCTGTATTGCTAGTGCTTGTAACATAGTTTTTATTCCAATTTATTAGCAGTTTGACGTATTTCTTGCTCACCACGTAAATCTGTAGTTAGCTTAATACAGTTATTTGTAACAATACAAACTCAAGCAAGTGAAGTTCACCGTGTTTCTAGTCAAAAAATACATCACTGATTGAGTTTTCATGAAAATGAGCCGTAAAATCTTTTACATATGGTTCACCTCCTTGATTGCGGTGACGGTGAACATGGATGTCAGTAGCTGTTTATAAAATGTAAGTAGAAGCAATCAAGCGTTAACCTAATTGTGAATATTATATAACTTGTTTGTATTTAGCCATAAAAAGTTATATCCATTAGAGGTACCATTGTTTTGTACTGAAGTGACATAATTATGTAACGTATCTGAGAAAAGAAATATGTGAGTAACAATTGACGTTTATAGTGTTGTCCAGCGGCTTTCTGAACGTCTGCAGTAATAGTGTATAACACCACATCAAGTAGGAACAAAATCTTCATGAGTAAAACGATCAGTGTTTCTTTTGAGCATGGTGCCACAACCATGTTTTTTAGTTAATACTGATTTGTGACGTGTCTGTTATAGGGTTCACAAATGAGTTATTATATACTCTTCACTCCGTCTCGGTAATACAGTTGTTGTGTTACTTAGGAAGTTATGAATGAATGTCACTACTTGTAAAAGACTTATAGACACAGTCTGTTACTTGCTATTTGAATAGCTTATTGAATATGATACTGCGAACAAAGTTTAATTGTTTGTCTCAAAACGGATTTGTTGTTTTTCAGAATAGTATGAAGCTTATGGAATTTAGGATTACGGAAGATCGTGTGGAAAACCGGTTTACAAGTTTGCGATAACTGTTTTATATTGCCTACTGCTATGTTCATTCATCTAATGAATTAGTTAAATATAAATATAACAACCATACGCAGTGTTTTACATTATAAATCCTGTAAGTTTGTATAATTATGGTCTAAATAAAGCCAAAACAAATATTGACGCAGAATCATGTGACCGCATTACATTTCGTGGTTTCTCACAAGTTGCATACAACTGAATATGCATTATAATTTAAGATTGAGGGAAGAAATAGTTTGAAAGATAATAGAAAGCAAAGAATTGGAATGACCTAGGTTATCAATAATAGCTATACATATGTATATGCTTGAACAGGTCAAAGGTCATTTGGTGTTAGACTTAAGGGAACATAAAGGATGGGTGGTGTGATAGTCCAGTGAAGCTCAGAAGCATATAAGATAAATTGTGTGATAATTCTAGATGTAATGAATAAATCGGTGAATTAAGAACTAATAAGATAAGTGAATACAATCTGAAGAGTTAACATAATTTAGCAAAGAAGTGTGAGTGGAAGGGTGGTCTAAGGATTACGTAATCCATCTTATCAGGGAACTAGCTGCATGAAATTGTCTAGTTCCGTACTACTAACTTGATAATGGACGTAATCTGACAACGAAA